CAATGGAAGGGTAACTGATGTGATACAGCAATTTGTATACGGGGTAAAAGCGGGAGTTCATAATCCACTTGAATCAAACCGTGTAATATGATGTATTAAGAACTATGTAATGTTATGAACGACCAATAAAAAAAAAAAAAAAAAAAAAAGAATCACCATTGAGGGCTGGGGCTGTAGCTTAGTGGAGGAGCACTTGCCTAGCATGCATGAGGCACTGGGTTTGATCCTCAGCACCACATAAAAATAAACAAATCAAATGAAGGCATTCTGTCCATCTACACCTCCAAGAAAAAAAAAATTCCAGTCACATGGCCATCCCTGGTATATCTCCAGCCAATCTGTTCTCAATTTACCACGAGCTCTGTAATGAAAGGAAAATGACATAAGACACACATACAGGATCTAAAATGCTAAGATGCAGCTGGTGAGATTGATCAATCTAGATCTTCCATGAAAAGGGTGAGCAGGTAACTACCAAACACAACAGAATCAGCACAAGGTGAAAAGAGGCAAGCAATGCAGGTGCACAAGAAGACTTGTTGGAAACACAATACCTTTTAACCAAATTTTGAAGTAAAAATTCAACAATCTAATGAAACATAGAATCAGTGCAGACTTGTAAGATTCAATAAAGGAGTTCATTCTAAATAAAAAGGAGCAGGGAGCTTGATGTAAGATGATATATAAAATCAGGAGGTTGTTCAAAATTTGAACATCTGATTCCAAAGGAGAGTGGGAGAAATGATTATCAGGGAACCACACACAAAAGTCTCTGGTGGAGACCAACCTGAGGAAACAGCACAGAATGTGTCTGCTAAACAAAACGCAAATGCAAAGCAATTGAACCTACAAAAGTGATGTCCTGCTACCTCATTCAAGTGAATCATTGAGGCCCATAAATTTTCACTGGTGTGATTCATAATGCTTTCTTCAATAAAGCAAGTTCCCAAGGCATCCTATAGAACATCTCACAAAAGGACAGGAGCCTAGAGGAAGACTGACACCTGAAATGTGTGGTTTCTCTAGGAACTGTGCATTCCCATTGCTGGGGTGTGCAAAACCCCATGGCTATTTTGTGACTGTTTTTGCTTTAACAATACCCAGGGATATCAATGAAAACAGAATACTTTAGGGTATATGCTTCCACAGCACCAAGGCCTCCTGATTAGAACCAGATCCAGTGATTTCTGGATAATGTTTCTGGGTCTGAACAGGCTGAGGGTCATCTTTCAGTTACCATGTGTCCATGTGGTATCCTAAGCCATTGCAGAGTTGAGAAGGAAGGACCCTAAATAATCAAAACTTCAGCTACCTATCATATGCACGGGAACCTAGACATCATGTTTGATGGAGTTTTGACTATAATAAGAAAAAAAAAAAGACTATCTATATTTTTGATGCTAGGGTCAGTGCTGACACAAATATGCACATGTGTGTAGCACCAACCTCCCACAAACCCAATACACAATGGAAGGGCAAAGTCACAGTCTCATCAATCAGACTAGAGGTCAAACAACTAGAGAACCTCAGTTCTAACATCTTTGCTGAATACTTGCCTAGTTTCCTTCAACACAATTGCCCAAGTCACATATTGTACTTCTTATAAATGATAGGTGACAAACACTTGCCCAGCCTATCCTGCTGGGCTGAGGTCCCAAAGAGAAAGTAGGGAGGCAAGACAAGCTAGTGTGTCAGCTGTGAGGTCACTGAGACCTGGAGCTCAAAGACACCACTGTTCCTCTCCTCCTTATAAAGGGAGCTGCCCTGCTTCCCCCAGCACACACTTGGGAGCAACTTCAGAGCCTCCTCCAAGATGCTGGTGGTCCTRCTCACAGTGGCCTTGCTGGCCCTGAGTCCAGCTCAGAGCTCCAGTGAAGGTATAAGAAAAGGGATGGGAGGTGGGGTGACTTGGGGACACAGGAGGCCCCTCGGGAGAGAAACAGAAGGCAGATTATGCTTAGTGGGATGTGGCCCCACAGTTTTTATGAAAAGTGTAAGGCCATAAATTCTATATCACGGCCGTAGATTTTAAGAAACTATTGAAAAAATAAAATAGAATGAAAATATTTGATGTGAGGAATGACAAGGATTTGCATTTATAGAGAAAATTCTCTGTTTTGAAGGGTACAGAGGAAGGTGGGAAGATAGACCCAGGGAAAGCAGTTGTGAAGGCATTACTGTAATCAAAGCAGACACTGGGTACAGGCTGCCTTACTGGACAGTGATGCTGGTTGAGGAAGAAGAGGCACACATATGGGGCCTTGTCAGAGACAGAGATCCAGGAAAATGTGGGACTTTCTCAACACAGTAAGATAGAAATATTAGGAACCAATTTTTCATTGTCTCTGACCTCCATTCAATATTGCAAAGTGCTGTAAATAGTGTATGTGACATTACGCCCAAGAGTTCACTACTGGTGTCCCCGCTTTAGAAAGCATGTCAAATGTGCAAATGATTGAATGCAGAAAAAGTTTAAAATAAGAGTAAATGGGACAGTGAAATACCCAGAATACTTAACAAATATTAGCAGTAAGGCTTGATGGATTCTAGAGAGGACCAAACAGTCGACATCTGCTGACTTGAGACTCAGCATAGTGACCCCCAGCCACTGCCTCACAGCTTCCTGCCTTGCCAACAGCCACATAGGGAGAGGCTGATACGTTCACTTAGGGGGTGACAGGCTGTAGTGGGAAGTATTCTACCTTCCCTTGTAGAATATTTGTGAATACGGAGGTTGGGGAATAACAATTTCATGGTGTGCTTCATTTACTAGAGGCCATCTATGAAGATTCTCCTTCCTCCCTGTCTTCAGGTAAGTCCCAATTCATCCTCACTTGGCTTTCTCCTCCTCTTCTTTTGGATTTTTTTTTTCATTTCTACAATGTCTCATTGCCATAATTTTTATTTGGGGGCATTAGTGACTGTCAGTTCCCCTAGCGATATAGACAAACCTTGCCCCCGTTGATTCTGGAATTACAGCAAAACCACCAATAGGCAAATGGGTTCGATGACAACAGGAGTAGTTTGCTATCTCAGGCTGAGAGGTGAACAACAAATGTGAGGTCTCCTAACTGACTCCTCTGTGGTACTGAGAGCAACAAAATGGCTTTCTCCTCCACCATATTGTTTTTGAGAAAAAAAATATGGCTTCAAGGTGAAATGCACAAAATTGTATCTGTGTCCTTTTCCTCCAGGTATTATGTCCCTATAGCTTTAGGTAGTCAGTGAAACTGATGTGGGGCCATCACTTTGTCTTCCTCTTCCCTCTCTTAGATCTGATCCACATAGGCCTGGGGCACTAAGCAATAGCTCCAGTTTCAACTTCTGGCTTAGTGTCCTGACTTGGATTTACAAAGAGCAAATTTTCACTGTGTCCTGAAGTACAATCAGCAGACATTTATAATCCTTTGCTTGACATCTCTTGTGTACAGGGAAACATCCTCTGGGGATGGGAAGGCATCCAAGACCTTCCTTTTTGGCAGAATTAAGTATAAATACTCGTCATACGTAGATGTTAGACATTCCACATGATTAGTACACAGGCTGAGGGGAGGTCCTCATGAGGAAACACTGGACACAAGGGAGGTTAGCAGTTAAAAAGAAAGTCTGGCACAAAATGTCTGTGTGACAAGGTCAGAGAAGTAGATGGTGAGGGTTTCTTCCACCACTGATGCCATCTACTCCTGTGCTGTACCCACACAGAGGTTGAGGACCTAAGCCAGAGCTCTGAACAAGTCCCTCACAGACCACCTCCTGGAGGAGGCCCACCTAGACCCCCCGCTGATGGTGGCGATGACAATGAGGATGAAGATGAAAATGGTGATTCAGAGCAGGGACCACCCCAAGGAGGCAATCCTCCTCGTCCTGATGACCCACAGGGACGTCCACAAGAAGCAACCCATCAGCGTCGTCGTCGGTCTCCTCATCCTGCTAACCAGCAGAGACCACTCCAACAAGAAGAGCAGCAGCAGCAGCAGCTGCAGCAACCATTTCGCCCTCTTCTTCCTGGTAACCAGCAGAGACCACTCCAACAAGAAGAGCAGCAGCAGCAGCAGCAGCAGCAGCAACCATTTCGCCCTCTTCTTCCTGGTAACCAGCAGAGACCACTCCAACAAGAAGAGCAGCAGCAGCAGCAGCAGCAACCATTTCGCCCTCTTCGACCTAGTAACCAGCAGGGACCACTCCAACAAGGAGGCCAGCAGCAGCAACAGCAGCAGCAGCAGCAACAGCAGCAACAGCCAAATGGTCTTCCTCGTCCTGGAAAATAACAAGGTAAATAAAAAAGTAATCAGGAGCTTCCTGCCACATATCATCCTGCAAAGCCCTGGGGATCTCCAGAACCTTCTCAGTAGATAGAGTTCAAATACCTCCCCAGCTCCATCTCCCCTAGTTCTAGAATTCAGTGGCAGCTGGGATTTAGGCTCACTCTCCACCAAGGGCCCTGACTTGTGCTTCTCAAAATTCAAGGTGTTAACAAATCCTCTGGGGACATGTTCAAAGTATGTGGTCATGGAACCCATTTCTAAATGTCTAGATTCAGGTATTCTTGGGTATTGTACGATAACCCATTTAAGTTCTCCAAGGTCATTCTGATTTTGAGAAGGACTGCATCAAATGCCCCTTTCCCCACATTTACTTGTGTTTCTTTGTAGAATCAAAGCAGTATTCTTTCTCTCTTTCATCCTCTGTCTCCTTGCTCACACTCCAATGGCTTTTCAATTCCTTTTTCTACTTGACTTTTCTGCTCAGTTCTATCTCCCAACAGCGCTGTCAGTCCAGTGTACATTCTAAATTAATTCATTCTGTGCCTCCAAGCGTAGATTTTTAAATGCTTACTTGCAAATGAATCTATGCTCGCATCATAAAATGTATGACTGAATTGAAGTTCAGTAGCTATATCTAAGAGGCACATCATATGTTACTCCATATATATTCGGATGGAAGTATCATTCATCAGTTTGTTTGAACATCCTTCTGAAAACATTTAATCACATATAATCATGACACTTTTTTCTTACAAATAATACCATCAGTTACATGCAGATATCTATGTTGTTGATTTCAAATATCATATTTCAGAAAATTTTCCATACCATTCATGAACATATGTGCATCTTTCTAGTCTTTTTCCTTCCTTCTTTCCTTTCTTCCTCCCTTTCTTCCTTTTCTCTCTTTATTTTCTTCCTTTCTAAATTTCTTTCTTAACGTCTAAATTCATTTTTCTTAATTTCTAAATTTCCTTCTTCTCCTCCTCTTTCTCTTGCTCATCCTCCTCTTTCTCTATTATTGTTGTTCCACTGTGTTACTATGCCAAAATTTTGCTCATCAAGCCATGTTTAAGATTCTAAAACTGGTCTTGCTCCCCTATTATAGTTATAGGTTTCAGTGACCTGCTTTATAAATATATCTTTGATCATTTTCAATAGCAACACAAAGATAAGCAATAAATGAATAATCTTTACTCTTTACCGTGTACACAACGATATTATGTGCTAGGCACCTAACCAGAGAGAACAAAAAGAATTAGGGAATGAGAAGGGGAAGAGGGAAAGGAGCTGAGCTCTCACCTACCTCACTTCAGAGACGACAGCAAGGGATCAGAAGCCTCCTGCATGCCACATCTTCCCTATAACCTTCCTTGTTTCTTTGTTTCAGAAAGTGAATGAGAAGATGATGTCCTTCAGGAAGTTGTGCCTTTGGACCATACAGTCACAACAGCCTCTTCTCTACACCAATAAAATAATTAGCATATGATTTCTGATTGCTGTCTCTCTTTCTGGGGTTGGAGAGTCTGGACTTGGAGGGTCATGGACACGATACAAGAACATCCCGGACCCCTTCTCATGAATGCTTCCAGAAAGCTTCCCTCTATCTTTATCCACAAGCCAGTTACCAAGGAAAACATTTTCAGTATCTTGGTCTTCCTTTGGATTGCATTATACTAATGCAATTTTTAAAAATTATTTCAGTTACATGTACTAATGATCTTGTAATTTGGAGGAATGAAGGAATACAGAACAAAAGTATGATACATTTTCCAAAAGCAAGTGACTTGGAGTCCTTCAAACATTATGTTAAGATCTACCCTTTTTCTTACAGAATCTGGACTGTCATCCAACTAATATACTAGAATTATAACTGGTGATTTTACACCAGGACACATTAGGCTTTGGGGAACTTCAATTTCTTAGCCACACTTTAATCACATTCATTTACATAACTCGGTAAAGATAAAACATCATTTCTTATTTACCATGTAACCTTAATATATCCAATAATCCTAATCGATTATTTATTTTTTGAGACCGGGTCGCCCTCTGTTGCCCAATATGACCTCAAACTCAATAGACTCCTGCCTCAGTCAAACACATAGCTGAGAATATAATAAGCCCAGTGAATCCTAACTAGTTTACTAACTCTCCTTTTATAAGACCAAATACCTTCTTTAGTGATATGGAAGAGCACAATTTAATCTCCCAAAATTATATTAAACACAAAAAATTTAGTTTTGGGAACAGGTCAAAATGTCAAAAGGTTAAGAATACTTGAATAAATACAATCAGAGCTCACTATCAAACAATACCAAAGTATTGTTAGTTGTAACAAAATAGTGTAAGTCAAATATATAGGGCTTTGTAATTGTAATATAAGAACTGAGGTGTCTTACCATTAAGAAAACTCACTTTTCTTTAGAACTCAAGGACTTCATAGAACACCGTATGAACCATAAGATATTATCTTGATGAAATCTCTTTACTGTGTACACAACAATATTATGTGCTAGGTGCCTAACCGGAGTGAACAAATCTTTGATTCTTAGGCCAGTTACTTAAAAGATCAAATTCCTTACCTCACAAGACTGAATTTTACCATTTTTTTTTTTGATGGACATGAAGTTAATTCTTAGATAAACAGTCTGAAGGAAGAAACAGTTTTTTTTTTTCTGCTTGTACTTATTTTTTTTTTTATTGTTGGTCGTTCAAAACATTACATAGTTCTTAATACATCATATTTCACAATTTGATTCAAGTGGGTTATGAACTCCCAATTATACCCCGTATACAGATTGCTGAATCACAT